CTTGTACACGAAAAGTGGCATCTGGCATCTAATTCTAAATAAGCTGTGAACCGCCTCCTAAAGTGTGCCTGTCGCCTACATGATCCTCACCGGAATGGGACTTTACGTGGGTCAAATGGAAAGAGACTGAAACAGGTTAGGCGAGCAGCAGCTTCGATAGTCTAACCGCTGTGAAGTAAATGCATCCTGTTTAGATGGACAGCAGTGTATCTTAGTGGAACAATGTGATTCAAACCCACTTCTTATGTCAGTGGGTGGTTTTTTGACCAGCCGATGGGCTTACAGCACATATTCACCTGCAGTCTGCGAGTGAGGGTTGCCAAAGTGAATTTTATGCACCCTCCGCCACTATTATCTGGACAAAACAACCGCCATTTTCCCGGACAAGTGAACCGGAGTACAAATCAGTATGCTTTCTTGGGCAGGCGAGAAGTATTCTGTATTGTTAATCCTTCCATAATCTACGCCGGTGAGATGGCTTTAGGCGAACATTGTCAAATTTGTTGGCGGGGACGCTAAAGCTAATTCGGAGTTTATTAAGAAATTATCAAACCTCTCTGCCAACATTTACAACATGAATTGACTCTCCGGTAAGTACTAATTTCTGCATGAGTCACATGGAAACCATTATTCTGAGAGCATTGAAAATAATACTGAAACGCTTGGCAGCGAGTCCGCTTCCAACAGCCAGTTTGAGTAGGATTACCTGAAATAAGGATTTACGGTGATGTCCACTTAGTTTGTTCAAAATGCGTTTCATCTGTAGCTAGCCTATGGCGTAACTTTTGTTGTTCTTATTAGTGTGTTGCTCAGTTTTACTTGATCATATAACAAGAAGCAAAGTATCTGGGCTGAGCTCTTCTGCGTAACTAAATGACTTGCTGGATGAAGTTTTACTGACTTTGAAGCATCTTCATGCAATTTTTCGATAAGCTATTTTGATCACAGACACACATTGCAAGGTCCAAGGAAGTATGACCTGATTTGGTGGCAGGAGAACCACGATCCTGAGCGTTGACTGAAGTATTACAAGTGTGACCTTCACAGGTGACTAGCAGACGACTGGCAAACAAACAGAGATATCGCGGAATCCAACCTCTTTAGATGCGGTACCTTTTTTAACCAGGGGTATCTTCACTTTAGCCCATCTAGCTCTTCACTATTCTGGCACACATCCAACTATCTTGAATGCTGAAAATCAATAAAATTGCGTTGAATATAATAGATCAACTCTTTTTCTGGGTTCAAAACGAATTAATTTTCATTGTTCATCTGCACCCAACAAACCATTCAGCCAACTCAGAGTAGCCTTTATCCTTCTTTTGCCAGCTTCACGCGTAATCTAAAGTGCTATCGTTTAGTACGTTTCACACTGATGGCTGGTGAAAACCAACCGCAAACTACCATTTCGTTCCTTGAGGATACTCGTCGTTCTAAGGGTGCTTTTTATTGGGTAACCAAGCAATCAACTTAGATGTAAAACCTCCAAACAGAGCAGCTCAGGTGTTTCTCAGCACAGTTCTAGGATTCTTATAACAGAATGTAAATGTAACTTGACCTTATCAGAACAGAGACTTAAAGAACCAGTGCCTAAGAGAAGCGGACGACGTGGGTGATTGCTCCTTTTTTCTTCTTCATTACATCCTATCGCTCTCCTCTCAGATAATACTATTTTAGCGCGGTCATTTGTCTTTTCACACAGCTCCGGATAATTAGTATTCCCGAATCAGTTTTTTCTGGGATATAGGCTCAGTAGGCAGTCAATGCCATCAACACTACAGAAATCATAATCTTATCAGTTCTTAATGGACACGAAAGAGATCCGTATTTTTTTGCATATTAGCGCGCCTAATGATCGATTATTCATCACCCATTGCTTTATTGCATTTGCGATTTTCTGTGCCCACGAGTAAGCTGTATTTTACTGTCATGCCAACTGGACATGACAAGTTGTACCAGTTTCGTGAAACTCACAAGAGACTCACATTCACTGACCACATAGCTCGAAGGCCTTCAGAACGTTGTCAAGGTCAGTTTAGCTCATATTTTCTAACAGCTGGGATGGCATTAAAAGTGCTTGTTTACTACGGAGAAGACGCATTTTTTAAGTTAAGGAACTATTCTTCTACCAGTTTTTAAGCTATTACCGTAGGATACATGACAATAAGTGGATGACGCGCTGGATGACAGACAGATATAACAGGAACTTTCCAGCCCCTCGCAACATATTGTGAAGACGCGTGTATGAGAAATCATTGTTGTGCTTGGCACTTCACATAAGTTGGGGTTGCTTGTTCCACCAAAATTCATTTGACTTTTCTCTTTCCGGCGTCAATTCCAGGTTCCCTTAAACTTGTCATCACAATCTCAATGTTGTGTCCCTTTGATCGTCTCACTATTGCATGCATTGGATACGTGGATTAGTGGCAAGTGGCATGATTCCCAACTGAGCTTTTAGTTAGATTTACTTGAATCGGTGAGCTCTGAGCCATTAGTGTATCATCAAGAGCATCCACTAGTGCCGGGACGTTTCTTGTGGTATAGTACATACGGATGAGCCATCAACTTTATTTTTCTTCTCATCATCCGTAGGCAATCAGTAAAATAGTCTTTACTCTTAGGGGCTCCAGAAACTGATCCGCTGGTCTGTTGTGATTACTGATTAGTCATATTCTCCATCATCTACATCATCTTCATCATCTACATTTTTGGAGTGCCCTAAGTGAGCTTGTTAAGGTGACATAAGTTTCTCATGCGTTCAACATCCAGTTCTTACAAGAACAAATTAATTTGCGATAGGATCTAGCTACACTGTTTACGAAACCATACAGAGTGAGTCAAAACACCGTCAGTGTTTTCTTAACAGACAGGAGCGCTGTGATCACCAATAGAGCTTCCAACTTCGTTGTCACCCAGACAGATTCGCGCAAGTGTGTCGATTAACTGTGCATTGTGGTCGCCTTATTGATGAGTATGTTTTATTGATCGGTTTATCCGGTTTATGGCCCAGCAACACATTTACCAGTTAGAGTGCTTTTGTTCTCACTGTTGGTCATCCAGATGCGGTGAAAGTTAGACCCATACTCCAGTGATATCTTTCTTGCTAGTCACTTTATGATGGACCAATGCTTCTGGACGAAGCATTTCGTATCCACATCGCTGTTCCAAAATGATTAAGTTTATATTGCTAAGCAGTACGATTTAACGTATGTAGTTGTGTAAAAAAAAAGTGTAGGTGAGTGACCAGATTCATTGGATAGGTGCTTTACAGCGAATTCTTCTGACTTTTGGATGACGGGTGAGTCCTATTTCATTCCGGACAACGGGCCAGACTGCAATGCCGATGTGTATTTCTGATTTAAGTGGTTTGGTGACAAATGAAGGCGATCGTATCAAGGCCGATTTCGCCAATTCCTGCTAGAAGTGTAAACAAAAATCACAATTAAATGTTGCAAAGCTGTGACAATCAGAATTTTTTCGAAGATATCCTGACTAAAAATATCTGTTTAAATTACCGTTGTTCTCGGATCACTACATTAAGCCGTAATTGTTCTGTTAATCATTATTTCTATATTCCTTGCGAAGAGCTTTCAAACCTATTTACCTCATGCCTTTTGTGACCATCGAACTTTTCACCACTGCGTTTAGTCCAGCTGTAGCACTCTCTGGATAAAACACTTTGAGAGTTATTTCACGCACACTGTACTTTTCAACTTGCAGCACTGTTTAAAATTTAAAAAAATCCTCTGCGAAATTCCCAAATAGTGTGGAAAGTCTGGTCGAAATCAATGAGAAATAACCGCTTTTTTCCGGTTCGGGTACTCACCATATGGGCGCACACGTCTCTCTTGCTCTAGCTAAGTTGGATACATGACTAGTGATAGTGTTAATTCAAGAATTCCTTTGACGGTTTGCGGAACCGAAAGAGACCTTTTCGTTTCTTGTATATTCTTATGAGATAAAGCCAGAAAACTGTGCCTTGGTCCATATTCGTGATGAGTTCAAATACATGTGCACAGATCATTAAATTTTGGGTGGCATCCAAATTTCAAGGTGCACACCACGGATGATCGAAATATTTATCTAATGAATCATTCAAGCTCTGTTTACATAAACGTCAGGTACTTTGCGGCCCAACCGCTAGGCCTGAGACCACCCAGTTATTTGTAATTGACTGAACATTCATGTGTTGTTGGATCGTCAACAAGGAAGAAAAAGTCGTACATTTTCCCTTGAACCTTTGTCATTTACAACTAATGATTTCGCACAAAGGAACTACTGAAATAGTGTTCGTTGATACTCCAGATGAAAAGTTCCTCAGTTTTCTTTATTGTTTGAGAGTTGAAATGAACATGAACAGTCTGACCTTATTCGCTAAAAACGCATACAAGTAGCTTATCGCTGATACGCATAGGAAATTAGGTTGCCCATTCCCCCGGAGACTCCGATAAACAGTTGGTTTCCCGCTGCCTTTTGAACCCTGGAATACGCATTCAATGGTGTCAGCTATATGTTACAATCGATCTTTCCAACTCAGGTTGCAGCGTAATTTCACGTCATGCCACCTAGTCACATTCTACGTTTTAGTGTCGTATCGCGGCCAGATGTCAATAGGGACGGTTTGAAGCAGACTTGATTAACATGCGTTGTCAATCATAGAAGCCGTCATACTGCGCTCTTTATGAATACGTTCGAAAGCTTGCCAAGTCAGTTGACAGTGGGTGCTTCTGTCATTTAGTTTCTGTTTGTCACAGATGGAATATCGGCAAGGACAAGTGTAGTTGAGCCTACACAAATTATAGAATAGCGATTTTGCATATGTCTGTATTCACTTGTTGAATGGAAGAAAAATATTTTCTGTTCATCATTCTACACGCAACTAACCAAAAATATCATCCTTATAACACAGCTACCACTGTGCATGTTCAGTGGCATCTACGTGAAATTATTTTGAAACTGGCGATATGCAGCCAGCTAGTGACCACCTCTCAAGTATCCAGAGGTCAGATGTGGAACTGCGCTACTACATTGACCGGCCTGTCCTAACTCAACAAGACCTTTACCTTCTAAGTGAATATCAGTCAGAAAGACCCAGCCTCACGCGCCGAGAACAGTGTCGCACTGTGGTGAAAACAGTTGCTTCCTTCCTATTACCCCGATTTCTCTTCCATCCAAAAGAATACGAGGATGAAACAAAACCAAGTTGCAAAGTTCGGTGCGAAAGATTCTGCAATAGTTTCGGAACCTGGTTACTGACGTTTTTACCATTTATCACAATCCTCCGGAAATACCAGTGGAAGACATGGTTATTGAACGATTTCATTGCTGGACTCACAGTGGGAATAATGCATGTGCCGCAAGGTGAGTTGCTACATCCAGTTACTACTACTGCGATTTATGCGGCTGCCCATATTCACTCTGGAGGATGTCTTGTGTGCTCTTTTGACTAGAACGTTTGAGAAATGTCATACAAACATTATCTTACACTCTAATGAAGGAAATCCGCAAGTAATTTAATGATTATTCGTGGGCATCTAGCGGTGTGTGTAATTCAACAGAGAGGCCTCATTAAAAATTGAAACTGTCTGATCATTTCGAAAACAACCTTGTGCCTCGAATGCTTTCTTGTGTCCTCGTCCGACTGGTTTCATTTTGGCTGACTCTTTAGGAACATTCTCAGTTACAAAGTGGTTCAGTGTCCTGAAATTTAGATCACCCAGTGGATGAATTTTTCGAAAAAAAGTTTCATGCTTTAGACAAAATGGGGTAAGAGTTCTTAAATTCCCTCAGGATGGATAACATGACCTATTTATTGGGATGGTTCTTGGTGCCCATTCTGGCGCACATTTTGATAGTTAGTACCGGAAACAACAAACAAATATTTAGTACTCTTATGGTTGAATTGTAGGCTCTTAAGTATGACAACTTTAACTTTTGGTAATGCCAAGGGTTATGACATATACCTCGATAGGGTACGGCACGACAAATTGGTTGTTCGATGAGTGCGATGAGATTTGCAGGAGCTTCGAAGATGAGCTACCTGTATGGTCTTTGTAGAGTTTCACGACCCTACTTGCTGCAGTTAATCAAAGGATGAATTCAGTTCCGCAAAAAAAGTCTGTTCACACTTCAGCCTCAGCACAACTCTGAAGCTAAATTTAGATCAACGATCAGCGTTTTCTGTCAGGGGGTGTGGGGTGAAACAAGGCTAGCTCGAGCGCGGCCATCTCATATTTGGCCAAGTGACCTCGTGGTTAGAATACAGACGTCCTAATTCATATGCAGATAACAGTTAGCTCGATTAACACCGCCGTCAGAATCTTTCGTGTAACCTACACCTTTGCAAACATAATATGCTTATACTGCTTCAAATTGAAGTCCATGTAAGAGCAGTTTTATCCCACACACGTGACTCGTATTGACAAAACTCGTTTGACGTAGGACCAGTTATCCCCTATACTGCTTCCAAGTGAAGTCACCTAAGCTCAACTTAGCCCACTTTGCAATAAGGTAGCGAGAAATCTTAGGAACTAGTCAGTCAGACTTGGAGCCTTATAGGGCCTCCTCCTTCCTGAAGTTGAAAGAAGATATTGAGTTACTCGCAGTATTCAGCACATCACCTGTTGAGCTCATCGACTGCAACATGAGTTCGCTTCACCACAGCAAATAAGCTTCTAGATTTTGAACTTTGATTGTTCTATCTCTTTTATAGGCATGGCTTATGCCTTGTTGGCGACCTTACCACCGGTGTACGGCTTATACACTTCGTTTTTCCCGGCAATAGTCTACTTCTTTTTCGGAACTTCAAGGCACATTTCTGTGGGTGAGTTAAAGAAACGTGTTTCATCCTTAACAGGGCTGTATTAGCGGTCAGTGATGAGAAAATATTTTTTCATTACAAACAAACGTCAGTGAATATCTAAATTTGTCCTCAGAAGGAGTATCATATATACTATCGGAGAATAATATCCCTTTTTTCGCCGGGGTTTGTGCACAGGTACTGTGGTCTCATTCGCTTGTAAAGAATGTATCAGATGTTGTCTTTGTGAGTTGAGTAAATACCTATTGTTCAGACAAAGCGGATTAAGACTCAAGGGGAATAGCTATCTAATTCTAACGGTAATCTAAAGTCAATGACAAACAAAGACGACTACTGGGGACTGAGTGATCAACGTTTCACCTGACTGTAATGTTCCAACAATTTGTTGAATGTGCGTCTACTTGCCTGGACTATCGGCCAGACCTGGTAAAGACAAGTAGCAGTAAAACCTTTCAACTTTTTTGATGCATCTGATTTGGTTAGTAGCGACTCTTTGCAGACGATCCTGCTGAGCGAGGATGTTCCAAAGAAGATCATCAAAATTTGTTTGTGGATATTGTCGTCCAACAAAACTCCGTTTGGGATACACGGTTAATGCATAAGTGAAGTAGACATTGTTTCTGACATGGAAGAAAGCTTTCAGATATTATCCCTACTCACACTCTACAGACTGCTTAGCGGCGCTTCGAAAAGTAGCTTGAGTTAAGTCATGGAACATGAGTAATCTTGATGATATTATTCTATCGAGCAAGAACTTTAGCGACCTTGAACGCGTGTTGAATCATCTGGCATACATGGTGGAGATCATAGAATACTGAATCAATGCTACCGAAAACAAGTTCCCCCTCATCTGCGTGGATGTAATCTCCTTTCGTCATCCAACTAGGGCTACGTGACAATTTTATCACCTAAAAGACAAAATAATAAATTCAGCCTTTTAAACTCAACGTTTTTAGGCGCTCATTCCGGTAAAAGACGTAACGGTGTAAATTTGATTATTTCATTCTGGAAAAATACATTTCATGAGCAGCGGTCCGCGTAATCTATCAATCTATACTGAAGTGATTGAACATTTCCAAGTTGATGGAATCTAAAAATAGCACTGTGTGAATAGGACTTGTGTCCCCAAAAATGTTGAAATATACAAGATAATGACGATTAAGAAGAACTGGAGAAGGTCAAAGATTTGATCCAGTATTTATAGCTTGGTTCCCACAATGATGACCAAAACACTGTTCATATCACCTATCACACTTAAACGAGGCTAAAATTTACAAACTGAACTAAACTGCACTAAACACATGGTGACATTTTCGAATACCATGACTGAACGAGATTTAATTCACTGAATTCAAGGATGATGTCGAGCAGCCTTATTCTTACGCACTGTATGATTTATAATACTTAACCCAGCACTGTGCCACGAATTCTATCAGATTTTACACTGCATATCTTCCGTTAAATAAGTCTATCCAATGAGTTTCTGTAGCCCACCTAGTCAGTTTCTCAAAATGGTCATTTCTAAGTTAGACGGGGTGAGCACAAATGGAGCCATGTACTCACCAAATAGAGTAGATTCCGCCGAAATCTTATTCTTGGTATTCTCACGCAGATCTGTCTCTAAAATGGCAACACATTGGTGAATAAGACTGATTAAAAGGCCTGGTTAGGTCTTTTTGTTGGGTCAGAATTGGAAGTCGGCTATCGAACAGTTTCCATCAACCTCATAAGCAGTGGTTTTGAATAAGATTCTGAATAAGACACACAATGGCCCGATATATAGGAGCTAACAAATTGCAATCGGTTCTCCCCTGTTATTTTCTATCCTGGTGGTCAGCTTGACATTCTTCCATATTTGTGCCATGCCTCCAATCCTCGATTAAGCTGTTCATTCTTCTTCATACACATCTGTCATACAACATTTCGCCACAATCTGAAATTCTTGGAAAGGCTGTGGAAAACGCATGGCGTCAACACCGTTCCCACCTGCTTTCATCGGGTACTCTAGGGATCAGTGGAGTGCCTACTGAATTGAAATGGGTGTGACTATGAGGTCATGTTTTACTGCGGTTTTCGTCTGTGGAAACACTATTTCGGTCACATTAAAACCTACTGTCTTCAGTCAGGTTAGTAGGAGCGCTTCATTAATGTCAATTTTTAATCCGTTCTATCAAGGCAGTTTTTTTCTAAAACTGAGAAGAAGCGAACGTCAAACTGAAATAGCCTAAATTAGGTTATTTTGTGACCAGAGGGCACAATGTCAACCCTGACAAAAGTGTTTGCGTCAACTAGAAACGACATGCTTGTTTGGACATGCTAATTTGAACAGACTGCTTTTTGTGTTGGTTAACCAAAAATTAATCAGGGACAGAGAGAGACCAAGACCTATGAGAGGTAAATTGAAACAAGCGGAACCTAATATTTTTTGTCTTCGAGATGTCTGTGATCAAATTGCAAGTACCCCACATTCCCACATGGATAAACACACAAATTATCTGGTCGTTTTGCAGTAAATTTACCTACAAATTTTTCGAAACCATAACTGGTTAGATTTTTCATCTGTTACGTTCCCTGGTATGCTCCGTTTATCCAGCGGTTGCATGCAGTTGTTAAGGCTTAAATAAACAATCGAATACTGACGAAAACAGAGCTCCCAAACGGACATTTCTGTGGGGAAAGTAACGAAAACACTAACGGAAAAACTAATTTCAGCCGGTATTCTCACTACAAGTTTTGTATTCAGATCATTTTTATCAATATGTAGGTTCTCTTCCAAACGAGGCATTCTGGATTAGGCAAACCGCAATCAGCGTGACGGCAAAGTCACACTATGCAAAAGAGCAGAACAACAACATTTGTCACGCTGATGAGTGGGCGTGAACTGAAGGTAGTTAATTTTTAGCGAAATACACCCGTTGGCAAGCTAATTTGGTTGTGCGAGAGACTCACCTAAAACCAACTGAGTTTCTCGTTTGTGATGTATTCAGTTTCCAGTTAATTTTTGGTCGATTCCGTCTCTCTTACAATTCACGTGAAGTGAAACCAGCAGCGTTACTTCTCTGTGGTTAAAAATACTTATGAAATAGGCAGCAGTTTTACTAAAAAAAAGTCATTCTCAGTCATGAAGATGAAGAATGCGCAAGTGTTACATGGATCCGAAAGTCTGCATCTAAGTTGGACATCTAGGTGCCGAATTCAAATCAGTGAATACATCCGCTGTCAACCGTGGATGTTCACAGTCTTGTACAGTTCTTGATTATTAAATATTCCCTCTTCAGATTGAACGGCAAATCAGGTACCGTGTGCTTGACTTGCCCCTTCCCTTAGAATGTGATAGTATTTTCATACTCTCAGTTAAGACGGCAGCCCAAATACTTATGACAAATGTTGAAAGAAGCCTCAGAATAAAGCAGATCACAAACAAAGTAGGTCAAAACCACTGCAAACTGTCAGCCTTGCCTTCTCAACGGTTAGTGAATATTAGTAAAATTCTTGAATGATCGTTTTGTGTCTCGAGGCGAATTCCAACGATGACCAGCAGAAGCTTCTTGCCAACCATAGGTAATTGCTTCATGAGCTGTCATTGCCGGATGAATGTCGGAACTCACTACTTGGCAACTAATAAGCTTGTAACAAACTGAGATGTGAGTGCCAACATTAAGGGTATTCACTCATTCGAATTTTGAGAGGAGACACATCAGCTGAATTGATGTGCTAGGACGATACGAAGTGTGAAAGAATTTTTAAAAAATTCTAGTTCGCTCCATCGGAGTGGATCAGAACGGAATTGTTAAATTAGAAAGAATAGAACGCCAAGATGCGATTTGTAAACACTAACGTGTAAGAATAATTGGGATTAAAAAGGTTATTCGGATTGGGACACTTATGACGTAGAAGCGAGACACAAACACACGTAAGCATTTCCCATAGAAAGTTACATTGTCTAAGTTCAAGACAGTGCTCACTAAATTCTTGAACAGAAATGATGCTTAAACCAACCAATGTGCTCGGCGTGATGACAGCTATAAAGTTTTGATGATTTCGTGGTGGGTTTGGACGAAGTAATCAACTCAGGGATTCGGGATGTTATCTTATTAAGTCGGCCCTCTTGAAGCCAACTGCATTTAAAAGGACATCGATTTTCGACCGACTCGGTCATTTGTAAAATTAATGCTGTCTGTAACAGACATTCGGAAAGACTGACGTCACTCCTGTTGTTAGTGGGCGCTGGGATCGTTTGCCGTCAGTCGCTAGCCCGATAGGATCCAAAGAGATATTTTTAGCAGGTGAGTGTGTTTCTCACTGCTCACGTCAAACCAATGTCTAAAAGCGACACGTGTAAGACACTTGGTGTGTTCATTGTAATGACCTTCATCGCAATGACTGCCATTCTGAAAGTCTACAACTTATTTAGGTTACTCCATCTGTATAGAATATATGCCGTCATTTCTACACACTACCCAATAAAAAATAAGAAAGACAAATGCATCATGGGTATGCCGGTGTCTAAAAGACACTCTAATGGGCTGTTCACTATTAATACGGTTGTGTTTGTCGTGCCATCCTATCGCAGATAGCAGAAAATATTCACTGCTGACCACCAAAAATACCCGCATTTCTACTAAGATCAGTTATGCTTGCTTATCCCTTCTCTTTTGAACCTGTGAGTTTTCTGTCTGGATTGAATACATAAGCTTTCTACCGAATGATAAATGTTTGCGTATAGTCACTAAGCAAAATAAACGAGGCAAAGATGAGCGTTCAGAAGCGGCATTTATAGAAAAAAGATAGTTCCCTAAATTACACCATTACTGCTTCTTTTAGTACACACCAGACCAAACAACACATGCTCAACGGAACGTCGAATTTTTTCACTCTAGTTTTTTCCTTACTTGGAAAGTTTTGGACTAATAAGCACTCAACTGAGCAAGTTTATCCTTGAAAATAAGATCTTTCAGCATCGGGGATTCATTGCGAAGAACTAAATAGTTAAATCCTAGGCACTTAAACGCCCTTACTATGTAAAAAATAATGGTTTTGATCTGTT